GATAATAATCCAGCAGATTCCGCCATAATCGTTGCCTGGGTTGCGTATGTGTACGTATGTGTGGGGCGGAGCTATCAAAATAGGGGCGAGACCCTTTTGGGGTAGGGGCGTGTTTGTTTTGGTGATTTGAAATATCAAAATTGGCTACCAGAAATCACTTACCCCACCTTTAACTGTGAAACATTACGTATTTGGTTGTGTTGTGAGTATTTGCAGCACGTTTCTGTATTTGGTCGTGTTGTGAGTATTTGCAGCACATTTCTGTATTTGATCGTGTTGTGAGTATTTGCAGCGTGTTTCTCTATTTGGGTGTGTTGTGAGTATTTGCAGCACGTTTCTGTATTTGGTTGTGTTGTGAGTATTTGCAACGCGTTTCTGTATTTGGTTGTGTTGTGAATATTTGCAGCACGTGTTGTCAAACTGAAGATGTTCTTAATTTGCTGGTGCTTTTCGTATTTGCATATGTTTTCTTAAGTTGCAGCCCGTTGAGCTCTCTTGGCCACCGTAGGGAATAGGAAATGCAAGCTCATGTGAAAAGGTTTCAGATTTCACTGCATTTCAAAGTTCATGTTTTGAGATTGAAAACCACTGTTCTAAGAAATACTGTGACCTGATCTTTGGGGGTGGGGTGGTCTTTTTCGCTACCTAAATTAGTTCTGTTTATTCATCCACAGTCTTAACGCTAACATTCCATGTGTCCCTCAAAGATCTATCTGTGAATCACTGGGCTCTGCAGTGCTTAGTCATCTTTTTATTGTATTAAGCTGTAATTAGGTTATGCCTTACACCTGTTCAGAATTAGTTTTTTAATAGCTATAATAGAGAAGCATGGAGACACTGTAGATATAATCAATAAACGAGTGAGCCAAGAATAATAACTGTGGCCATCAGTGTATATCGAGAGTGAATCAGGCATTACTAATAGCACAAATGATTCTTGGAACATTCATGACAATGAGTGCTTCTACTGAAAAGAGCCGAGGTAATAGTCAAACCTGTCTCCATCCATCCTCATGTCTAGCAGTCCATTCTTGCTGAGGGAGAAGCCCGTCTCTGCTGAATCCATCTGCATGGAGGAGCATCCAGCATCCAGAAGGGCAGCATCCACACCGCCTGGACCAAAACCCAGTGCTGGGAGCAGGTTATTCAGCTCACTGAACCTCCGTCCTGGCTTCACCCGGCCCCTTAACAAAAGAGAGAATAGAAAATAAGAAGATAGAAATGTTTTGTAACATTGCTTTTGCATTCACTTTTGACCAATTTAATTGGTCTTTGCTGAATAGAAGTATTAACTTTTCAAAATAAATAAACAAATAAATAATAATAAAATGAAATAATAACAAATGTTGGTCAAGATTTCCTAACCAAAACATTTAGTCATAATTTAGTTTTCCATGACCATTGTTCACTCTCTCTCTCTCTGACCTTAAATAAACAGATCGACTTCTGCTCTTGTACCTTCAAGATTTATAGGCGTCTTCACATGTGAAATGAGTAACAGCGCTTACGGGTTGCATTTGCTGTCAGGTCCAACATAAATTGTGGTGCTGCATCTTTCAGTAACATTGTTTGCAAAGCCTACATTCATTGTGACAAAGAAATGTGCCTCACAAACTGTTAAGGTCATTGTTTGCAAAGCCTACATTCATTGTGACAAAGAAATGTGCCTCACAAACTGTTAAGGTCAGACTAACATGGGACCTGATCAGAGACCTTGATAAAAATAAACATCGGCCACTCTTTTCTAACGCTGGAAGCTAGAAACAACAAAACCTTTGGTGAACTTTCTCCATATCTGACTCTTATCATTAGTTACAAAATAGAAAAACAGCTTCTGGTGTTTAGAATATCAGTATCCATCCCACTTCCGCTTTATAACTTAGAACACATTGGGCCAAGCTATTAAAATGCCAACTCAGTGGCGTACCGCTAATGCATGAGTGACTGTACTGGAGATAAAACAATAATACTGATTGATAAACTGTATGATGCAGTGTTGTTATAGTTAAATAAAACTAACACTTATTTTCATTAAATCAAACAAACCTGATAATAAAATAAAATATAAATATTAGATAAAATATAAATTGGAAAAATAAAACTTGTAAAACATTAGAAATGTTGCCTTGGCAACTAACTGAAATTAAATAAGCTGAAGTGCTAAAATGACTAAAACTGAAATAGAAATAAAAAAGAAGACTGCAGTCCACAAACGGTCATCATCAAATTTAACTGAACTTAAGCAGTTCTGCAAAGAAGAGTGGGCAAATATTGCAAAGTCTAGATGTGCAATGCTAGTAGAGACAGACATATCCCAACAGACTAAAGGCTGTAATTAAAGCAAAAGGTGGTTCAACAAAATACTGACACAAAGGGGTGATCCAAGGGGGTGATTTCCAACTCAGTGATTCTGTTTTGTTTTTTGTTGTTGTTGTTGTTGTTTCTCTAACATGTTGGTGTTATATCTTTCACTTGGATGTTATATGTTGCACTGAGTAAATACAGCTGGATAAAACAAAAACTGCAGGCTGCAAAGCAACAAAATTTGATTATTTTAAAGGGGGGTGATT